CTTGGCCTTAGAATAATGCCCACAGTGGGTACTCAGTAATTTTCTGAGCAAGGTTTATACAATCCAATGAATTAGTGCTGTGATGTCTTCCACCACCTCTGCCAGTCCATGGAGAGGGAAGTCTTTCTCCACCTTTCAAGAGAAGCACATAGATGACTTAAGGATTCCATACAATCTTTATAATCTTTGCCTGGGTCATTTCAGTTATTTCATTACTTCTTTTATATCTTTGCTCCATCAAATGTTTATTGAACACTTACTCTGTGACTACAATAGTGAACAGCATAGGTGAGCACCTGCTTGCAGCTTTCTGTCCACAGGCTGTGGTTTTCCAAGGCTAAATCAAAGTTATAGGCTTCAATTGAAGGATAATTCTTATCCAACTCAAGGCAACTAAACCAATTAACCAAAACAACATCAACAACAACAACAAATCTGAATTCAAAGCAGTGGTCCTGTAAGCTTTCAGAATTTCTTCTTTTTAAAAAATTAATTTATATTTGTTTTTTCATGTTTATGAATGGTTTGCCTGCCTGTATGTAAGTGCATCCATGCATGCAACTCCCATGGTGGTCAGAAGAGGGCACTGGATCCCTTGGAACTGGAGCTACAGACAATTGTTAGCTGCCATGTTGGTGCTGGGAACTGAACCCAGGTCCTCTGCAACAGCAGTCAGTGCTCTTAACCCCTGAACCATTTCTTTAGTCCCCCTTCAGAACTTCTTATGTTCATCACATGATACCCATGACTAGATCTTCTAGTTATTTATTTTTATTTTATGTTTATGAGTGTATTGCCTGCACATGTGTACATGCCAGTGATCTTAACTGCTGAGCCATCTCTCTAGGCCCCTAGATCTCCTAATTTTGAAAGAAACTTGAGAAGTCATTTGAGACTGACCACAAGGTGGATTATGCTGTAGGAAAAAGTTACCCATGAAATCTTTTGATTTTAATGTGATGAAAATCTCTTTCTTCTTAAAAAAACAAATTATTTATTTTTGAGAATTCCATACATCAGTATTGTTTTGCATTATTATTTCCATCTGTCCTGGTCCCCCACCTTTCTTTTCTAAGCAAATCTTGTTATGAATGGCTCCTTCCACACAGAGACTCAGGGATATTATCTGCTTTTGTACAATGACTAAGAATCTCAACATGGACATCTAGGTCATTACGACTTGAGATGAGAGACAGGGGTGAATGACTAGAGGCAGAATATTGCCTACTTTACCAGTCACAGGAGCCCACTGAACTGCAAGGGAGCAAAACTGGATTTGGGGGTAGGGCACATGGGTATTCAGAGAGTAACAAGCATTTTTCTTTACACTAAGTGTTATCCAAATCCTCATCCTGTAAGAACTGAGAAACTGAGAAACAACCTAGAAAGGTGATAAATGAAAATTTTTCAAATGCACCAATTTATTTTCTGGACTCTTTTGGATTACTTTTGAAACAAAAGGGCAACAGTTCCTTTTCTTTCTGGTTCAAGGCAATTTACCATTGATTTTGGTGTATATCCATATTTGTTTCTCTTTTTCCCCCCATAGGTCACTCTTACAGTGCTTATTTTCAAGTGGCAAGATTTATTTTTCCACTTGGTAAAAGGGAGGAATGAGTACGCCAGACATGGTGGTGCATGCCTTTAATCTCTGCACTCAGAAGGTAGGGGCAGGTGTATCTCTGTGAGATAGAGGCAGCCTGGTCTACATAGGGATTTCCAGGCCAGTTGGGACTACAGGGAGACTGTGTCTCAAAAAACAAGCAACAAACAAATATACAAAAGAGACTCTAGATTGTAGAACAAACAAATTGGTCTCACTATCTCTTAAACTTTGTGGGTGGTAATAGTATTTGTTAATTTCTTTAGTGTTTTCCTGTATAAACATTTGTCCATTAGATTCCTATTCACAGTTAATATACAGCTGATTGTATCTGAAATATCAGAATAACATTTGTTCTTGCTAGAATCTCTTTTTGTGACTGGAAAGAAAGCATCACCCTGACCCCCACTCGTGTGTGTGTGTGTGTGTGTGTGTGTTGTGTGTGTGTGTGTATGTGTGTGTTTCTGCCATTGGAGCTTTTATTAAATTAAGTGTTGTAGCATCCAACTTACTTTTAATTCAGTACAGAATTCCTATTACCCACTAAGTGTGCCATGATTTTGTCCTTGCTTGCTTAGGCACACTTTCCAATAAACAATGGTGCTGTAATTAGCACTAGAGCCACGAACGAAGTATGCTGAAATATGATAATTCATTCCATTTGCTAGCATAAATGTATTCCTCAGTAGCATTTTCCCAACCCATATGGATTTGGTTATTCTCAAGTCTTCACTTCCTTAATGATGGCGCTTCCATTATATTATAAATCATCTGATTGTAATTCAGGGGCATGAGCTCTTGACTTTGTTTTCTATATTTGTAGGTGATAGTGCTTGAAATCCCAGACTCATTATGGAGTCTAAGAACACTATTACCCTTTTGAATTGGAAACACTACTGCTTAGCTAGCTTTCCTATATACCAACAACAAACAGATTGAAAAAGAAATCAGGAAATAATTCCATTCACAATAGCCACAACAATAGCAACAAAACCATCAAACAAAGAAACAAAGAAATGGAACCTAGGAATAAACCTAACCAAGGAAATCAAAGACCTGTTTAAAGACAATTTTAAGAAAGAAATTGAGGACATTAGAGGATAGAAAGGCTCATGGATTAGAAGAACTAATATTGTGAAATGTCCATCCTACCAAAAGCAATCTACAGATTCAGTGCTGTCCCAATAAAAATTCTAATACCATTCTTCACATACATACAAAAAATAAGCCAAAATTTGTATGGGGGGCATAAAAGATCAAAGATAGTCAAAGAAATGCTGAACAAAAAGAATACTTCAGGAACATACCTAATTTCAAATTATACTACAGAACCATAGTAATAAAATCAGCATGGTACTTGCACAAAAACAGACACATAGGCAATGGAATAAAATTGAGGACCAAGCTGTAAGTCCACAAAACCACAGTTACCTGATTTTTTGACAAAGATACCAAAAAATATACATTGGGGGAAACCCCAAGGATCTTCAGGAAGGAATGCTGAGAAAAATGCATTTTAACTTGTAGAAAAATGAAAATTCTTATCTTTCACCATGCACAAAATAGAACTCCAAATGAATCAAGGACCGCAACATAAGACCTGATACCCTGGAACTGTTGGAGTAAAGACAGGGAGCATGCTTCAACTTATAGCACAGGTAAGGACTTTCTGAAGGTAAGACTCTGGCAACACAGAAGTAAGAGCAACAATCAACAAATGGGATCTCATGAAACAAAGTTTCTGTATAGCAAAAGAAACCATGGAGTGAATAAAGAGGCAGACCACAGAATGGAAGAAAAACTTTTCTAGCTTTTCATCTGACAGAGATTAGAGTCTAGAATGTACAAAGGATTCAAAATACTAAACATTAAGAAAAAACCCAATAGGTTCCCATATGATTTTTTAAAGAGGTCTTTAAAGTGTTAGTTATCCCCCCTCTTATTCCCTCTTCTGCCCTCCGTTCTCCTTCCCCACCCCATTAAACCCATCCTATCCCGTTAATCTCCTTTCCCTATTTGTATCACTGCATTCTACATTTATTAGTTTCCTGACCTCCAAGTAATTTCCTATTGAAACATCCTTATCTAAATAATCAAAGCCAGAATACACCTATGAGATAGAACATGTGATGTTATGTGACATTTTTCTTTCTGAGTCTAGGATACATCACTTAGGAGATTATTTCCAGTTCCATCCTTTTACCTGTGGATTTCATGCTTTTGTTTCTCTTAACAGCTGAATAATATTTCATTAGGTAAACGGACTATATTTCATTATCCATCAGTTGATGGACATCTAAATTGTTTACATTTCCTAACTATTGTGACTAGAGCATTAATGGACATGGATGAACAGGTTTCTCTGTAGTAGGATAGAAAGTCCTTTGGGTTTATGCCCAAGAGTGATATGATTGGATCTTGTGGGAGATCTATTTTCAGCTTTCTGAGGAATTTCTACACTGATTTCAACAAGGCTGCACTGGTTTGTACTCCCATGAGCAGTGAAGAAGTGTTTCCCTTTCCTACATCCTTGCCAACATTTGTAATCATTTGTCTGGTTTTTTGCTTTTTGTTTTTTGGATCTTAGCCTTTCTAATGGGTAAGATGAAGTCTTATGGGGGCGCAGGGATCTCGGAGCGCCAGCTGCTGGGCGTGGCGCCGGTCTCCTGCGTGTCCCGCACCACATCTGCCGTTTGGGTCCTTGGCTCTCTGCCGCTGGCGGGTCCCTGCTTCTCCACGTTGTTGAGGCTCTCTGCTACCGGGCCAGCCAGTCGGGTTCTGTCCCAATCCACCGTGCTCTAAGTTTGGGACCGCCAGCTGCTGGGTCACGAGGGGAGGTGCAGGACGGCGAAAGCTGGATTTCCGTGAGTCCTGGCTTACGAAGAGACAGCTCTCTCCGGGAAGGCTGGATCGTAGGCAGTAAGACACAGAGCTCAGCTCAGTCAGTGGTACAGCCCCTTTATTCAGTGACTCAGCTCAGCTCTAGGCCTTAGTGATCCAGCTTCGATTATTGAGGGAAAACCAGGATACTTTATACTATGGGGGTAGTGGTAAAAGCCTTAGCTGATAGGTACTTTGTGGGATGCCCTATTTACATATGGAAGTGGGCTCTTGCCAGGCTGTCAGACTGCCTGAAAATCACACAGGAAAACCTGGCAGTTCCAGAGCCGGAGGCCATGGCTACTTCAAAAGATGAGTCAGGAAGATGCTGGGAAGGCACCCTGCTGATAAAAGGAGTCTCTGCATATGAAGCCGAGCCCATAGGCTATCCGGACATGGAGAGATTGCTACTTTACACAACAGGGGTCCCCAACAAAGTCTCAAAGTAGTTTTAATTTGCATTTTCCTGGTGACTAAAGATGTAGAACATTAAAAAAATTTCTTGGCCATTTATGATTCATCATTTGAGAATTCTGTTTAGTTCTTTGCCCCATTTTTTTTTGTGGTTCATTCAAAGCTCTGAGACTCAGAATCCTTTTCTTGGGTCTCAATGAAAACATCATCCCTTCTTTTTTAATTGGGTTGTTTGGGATTTATTTTTTATGTTTAGTTTTCTGCATACTTTGTATATTCTAGATATGAACCCCCTGTCAGATGGATAGCTGGTAAATATTTTTTCCCCATTCTGTGGGTTGCCTCTTCACTTAAATGATGGTGTCCTTTGCTGTACAGAAGCTTTTTAGTTTCATGAGGTCCCATTTGTCAGTTGTTGGTTTTAATGCTTGCACTGTCAGGGACTTGTTCAGAGAGTCCTTTCCTATAAATTTCAGTGTATTGCCCACTTTCTCTTCTGTCAGTTTCAAGGTATCAGGGTGAGGTCCTTCATCCATTTGAAGTTGAGGTTTGTGCACGGTCATAGATAGGGATCTAGTTTTATTCTCCTATATGTAGCCATCCAGTTTGACTTGCACCATTTGTTGAACATGCTATCTTTTTTCCAATGTGTAGAGGATTCTTTCAGTATATATACATATACAATATGAAGGAATTTAAATGTAGTAAACCTGAAAAAGAGGTTCAGTGGCCCTAACAGACACCATAGACTAGTAAATAAAAAGCCCCAATGCCAATTGGCTCCATCTTTTGGAGTTGTTGATGGGGGAGATCCCATAGACCCTCAAAAAATACTGGTTATTGCTGTTAACTTCATTACCCACCAGCACTTGACAGTAAGACCATATTGCTGACCAATATGGATACACTATGTACCTGAATTACAGAACAAAGAGAAATCAAGCTGGTTGAAGGTTCATCCCTACTGGCTAGCTTTCATAGTACTAGAAGATGCCGTGTATATTTCTGGCAGAGAAAGGTAATCACCAACTTTATCCAATTGTGAACTACAATAGCAAATAACTTGACAAAATATGTCCTCTGGTACAGTAGTGGCATGAATGTTATGGGAGCAACCAACACCTTCTGTTTGGCTTTAAGGGCTAATTCACAAGATGGGGTCCATACATAACACTGATATCAGGAAGAACCTGTGACTAGACAGGTCACAGGCCACAGGGGAAAACTTACTACTATTATTCTGATAAATAGACATACTATTAAACTGACTCCTAAAAACTTACTATTTTACCCAGAGATTAGTGCATCTCTCAGCTCTCACTAGAGGCTCTTCTTGCAGCAGATGGCCATTAACACAGAGATGTACAACTAACCATTGTGCAGAGAATAAGAGACTGTGGTGTGCCTAGCTCTAAATGGGACACCTATATCACACCCTCTCCTCCTAAGCTCAGGGATCATTGTGGAAGAGGGGATAGAAAGATTGTAATAGCCACACGTGGTAAATGAATACAAGAAAACTGTTGTTTGGACATCACAGGGTAGTTGTACATAAGAATCAAGAGAACTTGTGACATCATGCACAAGATCTGTGAAAACTCAAGCCAGACAAAAACCCAGCATGGACAGGAGATATGGGCAGGAAGCCCCAACTCTAGCTGAGGATCTGTTGGCATTTGACAGATGCTTGGAGAGGGAGAGTCAGTTTTCCTTACTGGTGGGATGTTTGGTGTGTTGACAGGTCTCCAAGGGATAGAACCACATCTGAACATTTAAGGGTTGATAAGCCTTATAAAAGACACTAATAAAGAACATGAAGTCAGGGGGGTGGGGAGATGCTAAGGTAGGGGTGAAGAGGGGGGATGAGGTCTGAATATGACCAAAATACATTGCATGAAATTCTAGAATCAATAAACATTTTAAAAAGAAATTAAACAACCCAATTATAAATGGGCTATGGAACTGAACAGAAAATTCTTAAAAGAAGAAATGCAAATGGCTAGGAAACATTTTAAAAAGTGCTCATCATCTTAGTTATCATGGAAATACAAATTAAAAGTACTTTAAGAGTCCATATCAGGTCACATATGGTGGCACACACCTTTAATCCCAGCACTTGGGAGGGCAGCCTAGTTTATATAGTGAGTTCCAGGCCAGCTGGGGCTACAGGGAGATCCTGTCTCAACAAAAAGAGTCCATCCCATCCCAGCCAGAATGGTCATCATCAGGAATATAAGTGACAACAAATGCTGGTGTGGAGGTGGCAAAGGGTGACTCTTAGACACTGCTGGTTGGAACCAATGAGTACAGCCATATTTGGAAATTAGTCTTGAGGTTTCTTAAAAAACTAGAAATAGAAATGCCATGTGTATATGCCAAGGAGTGGTATAACTGGGTCAAATGGTAGGTTTATTTTTAGTTTTTAAGGGTTCTCCACATGCTTTCCATAGGGGTTGAACCAGTTTGCAGCCCCACCAGCAGTGGATGAGTGTTCCCCTTTCCACACATCCTCTCCACATTTGGTATCATTTGTTCTCTTGATCTTAGCCAGTCTCACGGGGATAAGATGAAATCTTAAAGTGGTTTTAATTTCCATTTCCCTAATTACTAATGATGCTGAACACCTTTTAAGATGCTTCTTAGTCATCTTTAATTCTTCTTTTGAGAACTCTGTTCAACTCCTTAGCCCATCTTTTAATTGGATTACTTGCTTTCTTGATTCTTTGTTTTTTGAGTTCTTTATATATTCTGGATTAAACCTTTGTCAGATGTGTCGCTGGTGAAGATTTTCTCCCACTTTGTGGATTTTCTCTTCATTTCCTTGGTTGCTTCTTTTGATGTACAGAAGCTTTTTAGTTTAATGAGGTCCCATTTGTTGATTCTTGACCTAATTTTCTAAGCAACTGAAGTCCGGTTTAGAAAATCCTTTCCTATACCTATATCTTGTAGGTTATTGCCAATGTTTTCTTCTAATAGTTTCAGAGTTTCAGGTTTCACAGACTCGTCCTATAGTAGAGACACTTCACTTATACAACCATGTTTGTTGCTGCTCTTTTCACAATAGCTAGGAGATGGAAGTGAAAATGTGGTACATTTACACAATGGAGTTCTACTCAGTGGTAAAGAAAGATGAAATCATCAAATTTGCAGGTAAATGGATGAACTAGAAACTGTTATGCTGAATGAACTAACACAGACTCAGAAAAAAAACCCCACAACGTATGTTGTCCCTTATATGTGGATCCTAGCATGAAATTCTTATAAGTGAATGTATCCAGACATAACTACAGGAACCAGAATAATGAAAAGGAACCAGGGAAGTAAAGAGAAAGAAAGAATCTGAGAGAGAACAGTAGGAAACAGGTATTACTAAGGGATAAATGGATAAAATTGGGGTTATTTCAATGGGAGATGGGAGGGAGGCTTATATAAGGAACCTTGGAGATAAAGGGAAAGAAAGAGCTCAAGAGAGGTGGGACTATAGGAGACAGGTATTATTAAGGGAGAAATGGGGAAAATGGGGACACTTTAAATGGGGATACCATGGTGGAAGAGAGAGAGAGCAGAGATAAATAATGCCTAGCTAGTCTTAAAAAACCAGAGGGAACCATATTAGTCCAACCTACTGTCAAATTATACATACATTATCTCTACATGAGTTCATGTGTATAGCTAAAGGCTACATACAAGAAACAGTGCCAAACGATACCTTCCTTCGAGTTGTTGCCAAGGGTGGTCCAAGAGACTCCCAAAATTACTTAGGCTATTGCCACAGCCCTGATGACCTCCCAGAACTTGAAGGTAAGACCCTGAAGACAGAACATACTTCAGAGGCAGAATTTGGAACAACAGAGCTGTAACTGATCTGAAACCAGTTCCCCTGAAGGCTAGCTCTCATAGCTTTGGAGAGTGCTATGAAGGTGCCAAGGGAAAGCATCAATGGATGATCCAACACCAGCTTCAAGACCAAATAACCACATCAATGGCTGGCACAACATACGTCATTAGTGCAATAGTGGCATTCTTATTTTGGAGGCAATCAACCCCTACCTAGTTTTACTAAGCGCCCACTCAAAGAGAGGAAACTCAAGTGTAGTAATGTAAACAACACACATGGCTGGAGTGGCCATAGACCTTAAGAGAAAACCCCAGTGCCAGAAGGTGCTATGCAGGCTGCTGGGGTGGGGGTGGGGGTGCATCAACTGTCTTATCTGGTGCTGGACCCTGTGTGCTGCAATACCATCCTGCCAGACAAGCTGTGACTACTGGTGTGATAGTGGCACAATTGTTAAGAGGTAATTAACCACTTTTTTGATTCGATTTGAAGCCTGTTCAACAGGAGGGATTTTTGTGCCTGATACTGTAATCCTGATCAAAAGTCCATGGTGAGGAGGTCATAAGTCCCAGTGTAGAACTTGTTATTTTGCTAAATAGTCATATTGTCAAATTGCCTTCTAAATATTTATGTTTATACCATATTCCTAGGTTGTTCTTAATCTTGGTTGGAGACGCTTATTAATTTTTTTTAATTATTTTTATGTGCATGAGTGTATTGCCTGAATGTATGTAAGCACACCCATGTATATCGCTGGTTGTTAACTGCCACGTGGGCAATAGAAATTGAACCTTGGTCCTCTGCAAGAGCAATAGGTGCTCTTACCACTAGGCTAACTCTCCAGCTCCAGAGAAGCTTCTTTTTATAGTGGACAGCACTCAATGGAAAGATGTATAACTAGTCAAAATGCTGAGAATAAGAGACTGAGTGCTCAGCCATAAATAGAACATCTATATTATCCCAGCCCCCCACCGCCAAGGCTCAGGGGACATTGCAGAAGAGGCAGAGAGAATGTAAGAGCTGGAGGGTGGAGGAGAGTGCTGTGGGGTGAGGTCTTCTGGACATGACATGGCTCTCACAATCATGAACTCACAGAAGCTGTGGTTACCAGCACAAAACCTGCACAAGATCAAGCCAACCAAAATTCCAGCATAGATGGGTAGGTGATCCCTAGGCCCCACTCTTTACTGGGGAGCTACTGGCATGGATAGTTGCTGGGATATGGAGAATTATTCTTTTTGAGCATGAGGATGTGGCAATTCGTAGGTTTCCTACACTCCAGTGGATGGTCCCACACCCATGCACACATAAGCAGCACTAATGGGACTTAGTGGGTTATATAAAAAAAAGTCCATGAAGGGGCAGGGCATGCCAGGGGGGAGAGCAGAGGGGGAAAATTGGGAGGGAGAGATAGATGTCATTGTACACATGTATGAAATTCTCCAAAATGAAAACATTAAAAGTGAATCATATAGAATCATAATAGCATGTCTTTCTGATGGAATTACTTCAGTATAAAATCTCAGTGTTCATCAGAGTTGTGACATAATTTCTTCCTTTCTTTGTAAATTCTTTAATCAATTTTTTATGTATTTCATACAGAATATCTTAATCATCTTTATACCTCCTTCCCCACTGGCCCTCTCCCATAGCTCCTCCACTGGAATTTGTACATTCTGTCATTTGTGTTAAGACCTATTGATTCAAGTTAGCATCCCCAGACATCCCTCAGTTCATCCACTGAGGTCTAGTCAGCCTATCTAGAGTCCCTCCCTTTAAGAAGATCAGC